AGGCCCTTCCTCGGCATGGTCTTTGTTTCTTACTCAAAGGAAGCTTCTTGTGTTCTACTAAAGTTCAGTCAGGTGGCAGCTTACAAGTCTTACACAGAAAATCTATCCCAATATTATCATTTTTCTATTTAAAATTCTCACTTTTGGGGCTGGAGGGATGGCCCAGTGGTTAAGAGCACCGGCTGCTCTTCCAGAGGTCCTGAGTTCAATTCCCAGCAACCACATGGTGGCTCACAACCATCTGTAATGAGGACTGGCACCCTCTTCTGGCATGCAGGCAGAACACTATATACAAGATAAATAAATCTTAAAAAAAAAAAAAAAAGTAAAGTAAACTTAAAAAAAAAATTCTCACTTTTGATTTCCTTCTCAAAATAGTATTCCTGACATTTCCACCTCCTGTCCAGTTTCAAGGAACCATCACAGCAAACTATGATGTCAAGAGCATACCTTTGAAAACACTAAGTAAAGTTCATGTGGAGATGCCCTCCTCTCAAAGAACCCTATTCTACAAAATCCTGTTTAACACACCATCCTGCTCCCCAGTCTTCACACTTCTGAGATCTAGCCTCACCTTATCCTGATTCCTGCGTGTTCCCCAGGTCCTGGAAGTCCCATGCAGCGTAGCTTAGTTCTTTCTAGAGCAGAAACTACTTTCCTTCTTGGGCTGTGCTGAGCTCTGACATTGGTTATCACCCTAAGTGATACAAGTCTGTCTCACAGTTTTCCTACTTCCCTCAGTTCCTGTGTGGTCTTCAGTCAAGGGGAGCTCACTTTTCTTTGTCAAGACTTAACTGCTTCCAACGGCCAGGAACATTCGAGGACAATTTGGAATCTTAAGATTCTGAGGCTGATGCACCTGAATATTTGTTGTCCAGGTTTTAAAGTCTCACACATTTTCTAACTGGAAGAGACTAAAAAAAGAGAACCACTGAAGATTTGCCTTTGATGTCTTGGGCAGATGCTCTGGGTCCTAAACCTCAAATTTTCAAGTGTCTAATCTGCTGTTGCCAGAGATAAGCACCTCACTTATGAAAGCTCTGGGACTTTTATGTCATTTTCTTTTTGCAGAGTGTTAATATGCTGTTCAAAAGCATACTGTCTATTCTCTCGTCCTTATCATCATCTTCGTCACCAAGCAACTCCAACATTCCCTTCCGTCCCAAGCCTCACCTTCCCAGATTCCCTTCGGTCTCCAGCCTCACCTGCCCAGGGTTCCCTTCAGTCCCAAGCCTCACCTGCCCAGGGTTCCCATCAGTTCCAAGCCTCACCTTCTCAATCTTTCATCTTGTACCTGCTCTTCATCTCAAAGCTGTAGTGATCGAGGTGTGGCCTGGACTTTTTCTATATCACCACCACCACAGAAACAGTTTCTGATACCTCAGACGGGTGTGACTGAGCTATTCCACCCCAACATCCTACTCTGAGGTCCGTTCCCAAAGGCCACGTCTGACATCCATGTGGTTTCTAGCCTAGGATAGCACACACACACACACACACACACACACACACACACACACACACACACACACACAAAATGGGAGTATAATTCACACAATAATTCACTTTTTATGACAGTGCTTTATAGGCTGGTATTTGAAAGAAGAAAGCATGAAGGGGTGGGGGGGGAGGGAGGGATGCAGGAAAGAAGCAGAAACCAAGATGGCCATCACTTCACCACAGGCAAAGTGGGTGGCTTGGTCTTCCAAGGTGCCTCCAAGAGTTCACTTGTGGTCTGTCATGCCTCCAAGAGGCTTCTGAGGAAGCCAAATTCTCTTAAGGCCATTGTGGCTATTGGCCAGGAGCTTCAGCCTTCCTTCCTGGAAGCACTCACTTTGGATTTATGGTTGTAAGAGGCAGCATAGAGGTGTGGGGTCCACAGCCGAGTAGTGGTTAATGCCTGGCATTTCAGCAAGGACTTATTAAATAGTAAGTATTACCATTAACAGCCATTCTTGAGTTTCGTGACATGACTGTTGCGTGCATAGCATGACTGTTGTGTGCATAGCATGACTGTTGCATGCATAGCATGACTGGCTGGAGCACCACCTACCTTCTCTCAGTCTTGGTTAAGCACCTTTGTGCCAAAATGGCAATCAGATATATAGCCAATGAGATCTGGCCAGTTCGGCAATGCTGTAAGACATGGTCAGCGTGGGCCAACCACACAGCAAGTGGTTTTGGCAAATCCACATGATGGTGATTCCCTCCAGATAGCATCCAGCTAGGCGGTAGTGTGTGGCTACTAATGATCCCTTACATTGCCTATCCATCTTTAAACCTTTTAAATATTTGACTGGTCTCTGAAAGCCACCAAGGAAATAACTTCATATTAGTTTTGTTTTATAAATGACAGCCCTGTAGCTGAAGGATAGTTTGCCCAATCACAGGGTTCATAGATTTGCTTCTGAAGCCGTGCAGAGAGAAACTCAAATGTCAAATATAAGAATAATGGTATTTTCTTTGGGGAATTTGCTACATTATCCTTTGAGTTTGCTTAGCCATAGGAAGTATCTTTCATTTGATGAATAATTCAAATCCAAATCATGTTGCCATGGAAAGGGAGCAGCTAGCTTTGCCAATTGTTTTTTATGAGGCACTCAGTTCCACAGGCATAATGTTTACCTCTCTTGAGGGAGCAACAGCTCTTGACACGAGGAAATATGATTCCAGCAAAAACCTCAGTTCTCTGTGCTTGTTAAAAACTACCTCAGTATTCTGTGTTGCTTCAAATACATGGGAAAGATTCTTGTACTCAAGGGTAATCTGGTGATGGTGTGACAGATGTCAACCTTGAGGGATGGACAAAAAGAATTTTGAGCCTTGAAAAAAAAACTATGTAACTTTTGCTTTTCTAGAAACTGATCACAGTTGTGTGGTCTAGTGAAAAGATTAGCTGTAGCGAAATGGCTCCCAGCACATCTCCTAACATTTGCTCTCCTGTTGCAGAAAAATGTCTGCGTGAGCATCTGCTTGCAGAGATTCAGCTTGACTGTAGCCATCTTGTCTGGAACTGCCATTTTTTCCTGCCAGATGACCCTGGCATACACTCCAAACTCTGTGAGACAAAGTCAAAACGGCTGAGCATGCCATGCTAGCACCATGTCAAGACGCTTTCTTTGTTTTTTGTTTTACAGTGTTTTATTTATTGTCATGTATATGGTGTGTGTAGGAAAGAGAACACACACATGCCACAGAATGAGTGCAGAGACCAGAGGACAAATTTTGGGGGTCAATTCCCTCCTTTCAGCTTTACATAGGTTCCAGAAATTGAACTCTGGTCATCAGGCCTTTGGGGAAAGCACTTTTACCCAGAGCCATGCTGCTGGTCCCCAGACTGTTTCTTGACTGACACTGGACACATGAGTAGTCTCTGAGAATGGACAGTCACATTCTGATTGACTGCTGTATACCTTTGTCTCATTTAAACCTTTCCTCCTACTTTGGGGTACATAAACCCTCATGTCTCACTATCAGCCAGTACAGGTGTCTACTCATAGGTATCTCTAATAAATTGTGCTTTGTGCAATCTTGGACATATCTGTTTCTTTCTCAAATATTTCATCACCTTCACCTTTGGTGGCCAAGCTCTCATCTGCTGGGATGGGTTGTTCCAAACAACTACAATTTGCACTGGAGCCTTTTAATGACCTGGTTCCCCCCCGTTCTTGGGTCACCTTCATTATGTAAGAGTGTATGTGGCTCCATCAATTCTGAACTTTAGACTTGCTCCTTAACTGCAGCCTGGGGCTTCCTGTCTGTACCCCTCAGCAAATTCCAGCCCAACCTAGCATGTCCTTTAATCCTGCCCTTCTGGATCTAGCTAGGAGAGGAGTTGGCATGTGCAGGCCATGGTGCCAGGTACCCCTGGAAAGAAATATATTACACTATGGTAGATGTATACAAAAAGTATTCACCTTCATCTATCTACCTGACCTATTAGAAAAAAAAAAACACATAGACCAAGTGTCTTTTAAACAATAGAAATTTATTCCTCACATTCCTGAAAACCCAGATCAAAACAGTAGAGACTTGGTGTTTAAGGACCCGCTTCCATATTCATGCCCAGCACTCACCATGACCTCAACACGCAGAAGGGAAAGTGTTCTCTGGTTCTTTCATCAGGGCATGGACCCCATTCATGAGAGCTCCACCCTCGTGACCTAAGCACACCTTAAGTTCTCACCTCTAATGCTAACACCTTTGGGGACAGGATTTAAACGCATGAATGAGGGCGAGGCACAATCATTCAGATTCTAGCAGTGTCAAACGTTAGGTCAGGAGATAGGGAAGAAAACGAAGCCGGGGCAAAGAGCACCAATGTTCATTGTTCATCTCTGCGCGTCAGTGGTGGCGTTACAGTGAAGATGCAGCATCTTCCACGGCAAGCCTTTTAGGAAGCTGCAGTTATTTTCATTTGGGAGGGTAGGTACCTCGGAGGGTCACTTAAAGAGGAAGGGATACATGTTTAAGGAAACTCAGCAGTTCTGCGTGGGGACTGAGTGATCACACCTAGGAGTAGGTAGTATGAGGCAGTGTAAGAAGGAGACAGAAGATAGATTTGGGTTGGCAAGGTGGACCAATAGGTAGAGGCGGTGGCACTCAGGCTAAAGATCTGAGACCAGTCTCCAGACCACTCTACAGAACGGCAGGACAGAGCTGACTCCTGACACCTGTCCTCTGACTCCACATTCGTGCCTGCATGCCTAGACAGACAGACAGACAGACACACACACACACACACACACACACACACACACACACACACACACACGTTTTTAAAGGTACTCTTGGGATGAAGAGATGGGCCGTTCGGCAAAGTGCCTGCTGTGCAAGGATGAGGCCCTGAACCCCTGAATCCAACCCCTAGGACACCTACACAGGAGTACCACAAAGGACTGGCTCTCTAGATGCCCTTTGTGCCCTCTAGCCTACTGGTGCATCAACTATCTTTTAAATTTTTAAAGAAATGACCCAAACATGCTAAGGTTTCTCGGGACAGCCAACCTCTCTGTGCCTGTGGCTGAGCTGTGGAACTCCTTTCTGTGCCCCGTGGCTGAGCTGTGGAACTCTGTTGACTGTTGCTCGGGGCTCTGCCTCTGCCACTCACCTACCCTGGACAGCTCCTGGATCCTGCAGCACAGCACCCACACCAGACCATAATAAGCACAGCAGACTCTCCTTTGTGTTTTGTTTTGGTTTTCCCTCTGGTTATTTGGGACAAGGTCTCCCAGTGTAGCCCTAGCTCTTCTGAAACTCACTATGTAGACCAATCTGGCCTTGAACTCACAGAGATCCAAGGCATGTGTCGCCACACTTGGCCCCTTACTGAGGAGTTGAAGCCGGGATCCATGAGGTTGCTGTGAGCAATTGTTAAGCAGCCCTGGTGTAAGGGCCCCTTATCAATTTCTGTTCTGAGAGGTTCTTAAAGGATCTAACTTGGACTATCAGGCAAGCATTTTTACAGGGTGAGCCATCTTGCTGGCCCAAAACTATTTTTAATGGACCTTCTGTAAACCTGAGGCACAGAGAGCTGGCACAAAAGGAGAATGCCAAACAAAGCAAAGGCCTTTAAAGGTGGATGTTCCTTAGGACTTTATGTAGAGAGGGCTGGAGAGATGGCTCAGTAGCTAAGCTGTGTACTGTTCCCACAGAGGACCTGAATTCATTTCCAAGTACCCACACTGGGTGGCACAGCTCCCTTTAACTCCAGCTCCAGGTGGCCCACACCTCTGGCCTCTGCACTCATGCACACAGACCCACACACACACCCACACAGACACATACACATAATTAAAAAAAATAAAATAAATCCTTTAAAAAATACTTTATGTACAGTGAACTTTTTGTTACTATATGAAGATGATAAGGCGTTTTCAAGTTTACAAATATTTGGCAATGCAAAAACTGTTATTAAATATTCATATGCATGTCATATATACAACTTTAGAAATATAGTTCCTCACCTCCATCTCTGCCCAAGGACTCATCATATCCTATATCACTTTTATGAAACACTTTTGAGTTCTGGTGTTTTTGAAACAGTCTCTCACACTGTAAACCAGACTTGGCCTGATTCTGAGGCAATCCTCCTCAGCTGTGGACTTACCGTTAGGACATTACGGGGGTGTGCCACCATTCCAGATTTAAATCCAAGCATCTGCTTTTGATTTCCTCGCTCTCCCCATTCCGGGCCTGGCCAGGGATGGAGCCTGCATCTTGGCCCTTTCTATACAGATATTATCCCCTTAGCTACATTGCTACCATAATTTGGCTCCGGAGGGCCTATGAGGAGATTCCTGTCTGGTGCGCAGCACTCCAGGGCAAAGGTGGGTGCTGATTTTCATACAGGGCTAGAGTGAGCCCAGAATTTCACTTTGTAGATTCTAGTGTGGTCCTTGTAGAAGTGGAAGCTTAAGCGTGTGTTTGGCCAAACAAACCCGTTCTATAAGAACTATCATGGAAATGCCCCTGCCCCCAGCCTCACACACAGACAGGGCTGATGTAGAGGCCACAGCAGTTAGCGAGACTCTGGGCGCTGAACTCCTTGTTTTCCCAGGGACCCGAGAAAGAAGGCACGTTGGTGCCGTTCAGCGACGTACTGAAACGATAAAGCCAGGGAGATGCGCAGGGGTCAGACCAAACAAGGCAACACAACACATCAACATGTTTTACCAAGTAGCTGAGAACGAAACCCCAAACCTGTGGGTGGGTCTGTTGGCCACACAACCAATGAAATGGGATCCACTCAAATGCATTTTGCTGCTCAAATTTTATTTAATGCTGGTACAGAACCCTGTCTAGTGTCTGCCCCGTGGCTAGCTCCTAACCTCAGCCCAGTTAGAAATAACATTTCCAGACAGCTGAGACAAAATTAATGCCTTAAAAATGATCTAGAATTGAATTTAATAATAATAAAAAAATAAGCTGATAACCTAAGGCCATTTTCCTCTTAAGGACAAAAAAAAACTCCTTACATTTAATTGGTATAAACGAATTAGGCAAAGATATTTCTCTTTTAAATTTCTTTGATGTCCATTTTATTCCCATTGAAGTAGAATTACATCACTCCACCCCTGTCCTCCCTCCAGCCCCTCCCAGCTGCACTCCCTCAAACCGTTCCTGTCACCCCCTCCACTCTCAAGTTAATATCCTCTTTTTTTCTTTTTTTTTTT